GGGAGAAGTCATTCGATGAATTTCCCCCATAAAAAAACAGTGTTAACATTCAATTTTAATTCATAACCTCTGGTGCCAAGATTAAATATCAATTAATTATCTAAAAGTCCTTTGTTTGTTTTATAAAATCCAAACATATCACTAATTTACATTAACAGCTATCCAAACTAGTTTTAATCAAAAAATAATGGGCCCTTTTGCATAATTTAGAAATTGTTCGTATACTTACTAATCGTGTTTGTGCTAAAATTAGCTCGAATATGAAACATTAAGCTTCGCAGATTGTGAAATACCGGTTTGATTAATTCTAAGCGATATTAAAATACTATATTTTGTTTTTACTTTCTAATTTGTTTGTCGTGACCTATCGTCCGCCATCCGATGAAATGTGGATTGTTTAGTGATGAAAATAAATGCTGGCGGTCTAAGAAGATCCTTTACTAAAACCCACGCAAAAACTATATGCTTACTAATTGGCGCTAGTGTCGCTTTAAGTCTTTAACCCTGTCAGCTAAGCTGTCAAAGTCAACGCATGACTAATAGGTCCTTAAATGGTTAGCTACTTCAAGATGGTTGCAAAGTTTGGGTAGGTACTTATTTTGGAATGCTTTTGGTGTTGTGGATATTTAACCTACTTAGAAAAGGTAATGACTTCATTATGCACATCACTATCAAGTTAAAAAGTCCCATAAAAACTGAAACAAGAATATCGTGATCCACGAACGATTACAGCTGCTATTACATACCTCTGAATTGCATACTAATAGGCGCCTAATTCCGAAATCTTTTTACCGATATCTATCTATGTATTCGATAGCACTGTTTTCATTGAATTTTCTTCTTTAAGTACACTACAATAGAGTTGAAAGTTTAATAAAGGAATTTGTCAGAAAGGAGTAGATTGGCCTGCTGGTGGCAGTGGCGTATTGTGATGTCTTGAAGCCAGAGTAGTTCCGCTGAGGGAACGAGATCTCGATAGACGACTTCTACAGCTCTGTGTATTGTGCATTTAGGCTTAATTGATTTTGTCTCCTGTAGTAATTAACGGAGGGTAGTGGAAACCACGCTTTTTTTCTTCTCTAATAATTATGTTCTGATTCACTTCGTTGCTGGAACCAAGACAGTTATTCACGTTTCTGAGACGCGCCGGACTTCAGTGTTCCGGTGTTTTCATGGTTGTATCTACTGTAGATCCTGTCTTACAGGAGTTGCAGCGGTTTTGGTAAGTTGTGGCGGGCTTGTATAGCTCTGTTTCTTTCCCTCGATGGAACCATTCTGACTTTAGGTCGTCATAATACCCCCGCTGTACATGAGTTGTAACGATTAGGATGAAGTATAATTATAACGATTTCGTGTACAATTGTGCTCGTGAATAAGGTGCGCCTGATTTATTGTAATTAAACGTACTGTACCTACCTACAGGGTGTGGCAACGAAATATCAGTTCGTAATGCAATACCTACATACCTATTTGCAAATCTTGAACGCTTGACGCTCTTTGTAAATAGTTATTTTTAGTATTTTTTACATATATTTTGTAAGTAGTTTTTAAGTTTTATAGTTTTAAATGTACCTATTATATTAGTAATACGGATATCAATAAAACTTTAGGTACCTACTAATTTTTTTGTTTTTTTTTTAAACGTTGCCCCTCACTAGTTTTGTCTCCTGTGACGTGTGTGCTTTTACAAACATACAAGTTCACATACACAATGACACCCAGACCCGAAACAACAATTTGTGGATCACACAAAGTGTTGTTCCGTGCGGGAATCGAACCCGCGACACGGCAGCCGGTTGTCCAGCCACCGCACCAACCGTGCAGTCGATCCAGATCGAGTCAATCGCACGATTGACTTTAGTTCAAATAAATGAACAGTCGAACTTTAAACCCCAAAAATTCAATATAATAAGCCTAAATAAGCCTAGCCTAAAGAAACAATAGTTATGACCTTTAACCGTGGCTAAAAACATTACTAAATCGTCTAGCGATTTTTTCGCTTCTCATCCCATCAACAGTATTAGTAGGTACCGATTAGGAATATCCTAGCATAGGTATCTATTAAACTGTCAAACACCAGGCGGTCACCGGTGACCGCGACCTATTGTTCTTTAATTGTGTCTATAAAACCGGTACTCGACGAGTTAAGTAAATAAAATTACCTACAACGTAACTAACTACATGACACAATCTTCAATGCGCAATCAAAACAAAAACACGACATCTACAGAACAAAACAGGTTTATGGATGAGACCTAAAAACTTAAGATTATCACACTTCCTATATCATAACATCTGTAGGTAACTCCGTTGGTAATGGTGTTTCCAGACTAGATCAAAACAATAGGTAGTAAAACTATACTTGGATAGAAATATTGAGGGCCGATTTTTTAATAATCAGTTAATTTTTATATATGTATAATAAAATTGATAGTTTTTTAGTATGGAAGAATTGTCAAATAATGAAAGTTATTAATCAGTTAAAATTTATCTGGCGTTGGTAAACAAAATAAGGGCCGATTATTTAATCATCAGTTGATTTTTAACTGTAGAATAAAATTTACAGTTTTTTAGTATGGAAGAATAGTCAAATAATGAAACCTATTCCTCAGTTAACATTTATTTGAGCATTGAAAGATAGGTCCTATAAGAACCATTTCAAAATAATATACCTATTAGGTAGGTAGGTAACTTTGTAAACAATTTTTAACACTAGTGTGGAAGCACCATAAATTCACAACGTTGTACCTACCTAAATGTTTTATAAATGCAGTCATTAACATAATAACAGGCAGTATTTTACTTACCGGAAAAGTGTTCTTTGTAGCTCAGGCATTGAGGAATCAGCTTAGATCACATTATAATATAGGTACTTATGTTTATATGACACAAACACTAGATCACTTTAGGTCCTAAGCCTTTTATTTTCCGTAAATAAAAAATAAACTATGTTCCCGGGAATTTTATTTATGAGAAACAAATCATTAGCTACTTATAAAGTAGTTCGAAATCATTAAACAGTCACTCGTGTCGTATCGTATGCGTTAATTTCAAAATTCGTAACATTATTTACAAATGTTAGATCGCGTCTTAGAAAAAAAGCGCTAAGTTCAAAAATTCGATTTGCGCGTAAGTACTGTAATTGCGCAGATTCTCGACGTGCGCAACTCAAGCCGTGCATACAGCGTGTGAAGTGCCGTGCACGCGCGTGCATCGCGTGCTTACATTACCCAGTAGGTACAAAGCATTGCGTGATTCTATTATGTACAGACAGATCATGGTATTTTATGAAAGTTCATAGCAAATATCAAAGTAATGGATTTTGCTACTTTTTGGTAAGCGTATCTGCGGTTGCTGTTCGATTGGTTCAAGCTATTTGTTGCGTGCGTGAAATGTTTTCATCATTTTAGTACCTTAAAAATGCGCAATTTAGGTAACACTTTAATAAATGTCTCTATTTTACGCTTTTCTTTGAGTTTACGAAGTGTAGTACCCGTAGGGGCGTAGTGCGAAGGGTTTTAGAATGTACCTACGTAGGTTGTACGTAGTCATTACACTGTGTAAGAACTTTAGTCTAAGATCCTGTTTTACAATATCTGGGGCCTCTAGCCAAAAGCCACTTTAGCGCTTGTCTACAGTGAGAGTAGAAATCAAAATGTATGGGGATGACACTGACAAGTGTCAAAATTTACGTCAATTCCATATAATTTGGTTTTCTATTCTACATGTAGACAAGCGCTAAATGGCATTTGGCTACAGCTGCTGGATAGCCGCTGTCTACCAGATAAATTCGAATTAAGAACATAATTTATATGAACTATCTGTCACATAAGTATAAGGAGGTGGTGAAACCGGCGCTAAACTTTTTTTACTAATCAGCTACCTATTTCTCCGACTGCACATAGGTATTTTTTAACATAACATCATAACACCACGCCTTCTGATCCCCGTACTGCCACTGTACAATGTAACACCCATTTTTCACTATTCATGTTATGAGTCCCAGGTCCCATGTAATATAGGGGGTGAGCCTATTGCCATATTTCCAAACCCAGTGCTACTACTGAGATTTTTAAAAACTCAATAATGCTTTGCCCAACCCGGGAATCGAACCCGAGTCCCCTTGCCCGGCAGTCGCACTTGCGACCACTCGGCCAACGAGGCAGAGTAACGAAGTAATAAAACTGGATATAAATAATGCCCATACGTTTCTTTCTTGATCGGTAATTATACGCCACCATGACTATGCGATTTCATTTAATTCTTGTGGGCTTTAATTACCACATTACGACTTTTACGGATTTTTGGTACCTACTCTAAGCACCTTTTGCTAGTTAGGATTTTGTATCAACTAGAATTTCCATCTTTCATCATAATCATCAGCATCATCAACAGCCTATAAGTGGCTACTGCTGACCAAAGGCCCCTCCTCGCACGGAGAAGGTTCGAGCATTTATCACCACGCTTGCTAAATGCGGGTTGGCGATTTGAAACTTAATAATAACTTTGATAATTAGAATTTATACGCCCAGGTTTCCTCACGATGTTTTCCTTCACCGTTTGAGTGAAGGAAAGCTCCTTCATTCTTTCAGTGGTGTCTAGATAATCTTAGAAAGTAGATATAACTCGGAAAAAGATTGGTACTTGCTGTTAGTAGGTTTCGAACCCACACTCGCATACATGAGCACCGAGCGTCCTTACCCCTGGTATGCCGGTGACGTACCTACATATACGCGTCGTTATTGTGTCTCATATACCAGCAGATAAGGGGTAAACGGGCTCCGGGCTACCCCGGCTTCCTTCTTTCACTTACAGTTATTGACAAATTCTTGCTCATGACACTCAAACACAGAATACAATCTAACTTTATATTACATCATTACGACTATGACCTTTAGTTTCAAAGTAATAGATGTCAATGAGCTTAGGTAGGTAGGTAAGTGTTACACAAAAACAAGAAACGTAAAAAATAATGAATATTTATTGGAATAATAATCTACCTAGCATACTAATCTATAGGAAATATATCGCCCGGCCGTCTCTGATGATCGGATGATTTTCACCACCTGGAACAAAAAAGGGGTTTAAAGATTAATTTATAGAATTTGTCATCGACTGCCTCGTTGGCCGAGTGGTCGCAAGTGTGACTGCCGGGCAAGGGGTCTCGGGTTCGATACCCGGGTCAGGCACGTCAGGCAAAGTACGACTGGGTTTTAAAAAAAAATGCAGTGGTAGCACGGAGTCTGGAATTGTATATGGCAATAGGCTCACCCACTATTACATGGGACTCACAACATAAATAGTGAAATGTGGGTGTTACACGCCTTTTATCCACGATAGAAGTGCACATTACGGCACTTAATGCCACTGTACAATGCAACACCCATTTTTTACGATTATGAATCCTATGTAACTTATATTTATTATTGAAATGAAGTAAAGAATAAAAGGTTTGTCCAAATACTCAAACGCTACTCAATTTTAAGTCGCGCCGTCGCTGCAAATTCTTTGTAAAATGACAGAGATGGCACGATATTTAATTACCTTAAAATTGAGGACCATTTCAAGATTCGGGCATAAGACTGTTAGGTTTAACGCAATTCCGTAAGAAAAACGTTAAAATAACATAAGAAATACATCTTGACCTATGAACTCTATTGCAAAATAGCTATAGATAACTGTCGGGACTAATATCCGAGCAAAAACAGACACTTTTAAAGGGAAAATATGCTCATAGCTAAGATGATATCAGCAAAAATTATCTAATAGCCTCCTAGATTCACACTAGTAAACATTATGCAAGACCATGATATTACGAAATGACTTGTTTTATTACTGCTCTACTTCAGATCACTCAGGTTTTCTGCATGACAATCGGCAAGCGTATTAATATGCCCATAACGCGTCTTCATACGTAATAACTCTATTCGTGTGGTATATTGTTGCACGGAGTATTGAATAAATGGAGTTATCATGAGGGTTTTTTTTAAGGGAGGAAAATCATCGAATGTCTTCTCCCGTCTGGGTAAGTCGGGAGGGAGTGACTCTTGCTGACTAAAAACCATCCCCTTCCTTCTCCTGCACTTTGAGCCGGTAACCCGTTAAGTTCTCCGCGGCTCCGTTAGTTACAATGAGGTTAAAGTAGGTAATTTGGATTGAGTAGAAGTGTTTTGGAAATTTAATAAATTGTGTTTAAAATACTCTTGATTTCATGATGTATTAAAACTCCGTATACTTCAAAAAAGAAACAATTTCGGGGAACATTTTTGGACATAGTTGTTGTCTATCATGAGGATCTAAGTACATTTTACAATAATTCACGAAACGATTGCTACAAACATGTAGAAAACATTGATCAATATATTAAAATTGTTGTTACTAAAATTTCGAGATGTAAAAAGGCAATTAATTAACAATAAAACTATGAGACTTATATATACAACTTAGCCTTTAAACTGTCAAACACCAAGCGGTCACCGGTGACCGCGACCTATTGTTCTTTAATTGTGTCTATAAAACCGGTACTCGACGAGTTAAACTGTTGCAATTTTCATCAACCACTTGACACTCCATTAACTATCTACTCTTTGGTACAAATAACGTGCAAAGTCTGTACTGACACACATACTCGAAAGCGGAGCGTATTCAAATCATGGATACGCACAGTTTGTATAAGTAACAATTTGTTACTTATATGGTTATGGATGATGACTTACGTCTTTTGCGTGATTCCATAGTATTTTAAATATTTCGCATACAATACATATTGGACAAGTTTATCAATTACGTTCGTAATAAGGTCTAATTACTTTACGAGTGTTAATTAGTACTATTGTTACTCTTTCCTGTTACTGTTTTATGACAGTAAAAACCAATGTTGAAATAGAACTATAGTATTGTTATGTTAGGAATTTAATATCCATATATCCCCAAGCGGTCACCGGTGACCACTCTCCACTAACTGCATTATAGACCTTATTTCCAATATTTAGAGACTACTTTTGTATGAACAAATTTAGGGGATGATTTTCAATCATTTTCAACAAGTTAAGGAATAGAGACTATATAGCTAATTGGTGGATTTATATGCAATTTTTTTATATATATAAAATAGTAAATAAGAGAAGTATTTAAGTTAATTTTAAGTTTTGTTAAATATGTTTAGGAAATGATGGGTCTGGCATGGTCTTTGGGTGATCAAAATACCCTAAGTTATTAAAGATAATAAAAAATATTTGACAATTGAGAACAAAGTTTAAATGTTTGGGCCTGCTAGAGCCCTTTTTTTTGATGTTTTGGTGTCTAGCTTTTTGGGGAGAAAGACTAGGGAGTGCAGGATTCGTATCTCACTAAAATCACCCCGGTAGCCACCCTTAGCACCTGTAAGGGGCACGGGGTCCTCTAAAGAGACCTGCTCCAGAGCCCCCAGACCCTTGGTGTAAAATTAGGTCTTCATCTCACTCCAAGCTCGTAACTTACCTTTCTTCTAATACCAGAAGTATTGAAGATAAGTTTAAATAGATTAAAGAATATTATACTATATTAATTGGCTACTAACCTGTCCTCTCTTCAGTCCAAAGTATCTCGCCACTGGGTCACCAGCCTGTATCCTCATCAACATGTTCTCCTTCAATTTACTGTTTTAATTGTTCAGGAAAAAATGCTTTATTCACAACATACTTACAATCAAAATTGGGTTTATACACAAGACATTAGAGCACAATTTAAAATACTCACAAACAAGTACTTAGGTACCTACCTAGTTGGACAAGTTTAGCTATCAAACTCTATTTTTTGGTTTTGATCCAATGCAGGTCAACAGTTAATGATTTCGAAATAGTAAGCACAGAATTGGTATTTGGCAGTCAACGGTAATTCTAACGTTTTATATATTAAATCTTACCTATTATTTATAGTAATTTACCATAATAGGTAAGATTTCATAACTGGTATAGAAAAACGTTTACTTTTATTTAAAAAAATACTTTGTTAATTAATATTTGCGTGCCGCCTGGTAGAATATGGCTGAGCTCGCAATGTACCTAACCAAACACTACATGTATTACCCATATTTGCAAATAATTTCATCTTTAAAAAAAAGAGAAAATTGTCTTTCTCCATCTTCAATTCTCATTTAAAAAAGGATACTATCTAGTCAAAAGTTCCGCCTTCTCATCAGGAGTGAGCACGATGTGTTCAGGCACCAGTTCATGCTCCGTGATATTGATCAGCAGTTCCGACTCAAGGAATTGTTCTAGAATGTACTTCGGCGCCATGTCCACTAGCGACTGCTTTGCTGATGGCGTCATACCTGAAAAATACAACACATTTGTTAATTTCAAACATAGCTGCTGAGTTTTGTCTATGTATTTGTGTTTTGGAATACAAATTTGACTTTAGTTACATTTCATTTAATTTCCTTTATTGCACATAATATGCAAAACAATTTATCTTTATCAAATCAACTCTTGATAATTCGGGGCATAAGTTACATGGAACAATGAATTAATTAAGTTTCTCTTGACCTTGAGGAATAAGGATATGTCTTATGCTATTCGCCACACTTCAAAGGTTTTGGCTTTTGGAGCCTGTAATTCAAAGCAGTCAATAAGTAACAAATAATACATACCAGCTTGTACAACAACAATAGCTCTATGAATGTTTTCCTCCTGCATCCTAGTACAATATGTTTTGATAGTCTTTATCCCAATTTTAGGCTCATCAGGGAAGAAAACAAACATCTGATCTGTCGGGTCATCATTGTGAGCTACCAGTACAATCAAATCACTTCTAGCTGGTCGCTTTTCACTGTAATCAAAATATTTACAAATCAATAGACAAATTAATTTTATTCTTGGATAGAACTTTTACCTAGAGCTGTGATAGAAAACTTTTTACACAATTTTGACTTGGCCATAAAGAAGTTTGTCAACTGTCTGCTCGTCTCTCTAGATTAAAAATTAATAATGTCAAAAACATCTGATTGATTTGATTTGGATGTTAGATTCATAAATAGAAAAATTCTATACAAGAATTTTGTATGTATTTTAATACAAAAGAAGAATTGTGTGACTTTAGAATGCAAAATTTATAATAAAGCCAATATGGAAATACTGGATCAGAAAATAAAGAAATCATTAGTTGAAAGAACAGTATCAGAGACAACTAGGCTTTATATTGGTGAGTTGATTAGTACAATGTATTTTACACTGTACATCATGATTATTTAAGTATGTCAGAAGTTCACAATACAAGACATCTGCATTATAAAATTTGTTATGCTGAACCTAGGCCTAACCTAACCTAATAACTTTTTTTAAATAAATGGTAACGTTGACTGCAACCTTAATGAGTGTTGTGGTGGCCCGGAAGTTCAAGACGCCTGCTTCTCATGCAAGAGGGTGCGGGTAACCTACTATCAGACTTTTCCGAGATATATATACATTCTAAGATTATTTAGACACCACAGACAAACATGGTGAGGAAACCTGGGCTTATAATTTTTAATGTTATAAGTTTGAAATCGCCAATCCACATTGAACAAGCGTGGTGATTAATGCTCAGACCCTCTCCGTGAGAAGAGGCCTTTGGTCAACAGTAGCCACTTCTAGGCTGTTAAAGATGAATACCTGGGTTTGTCACCAAATTGCTCTTTGAATTGCTCCAGCGTTTGATCCAATTCATCCTGTGTCACTAAGTATCCGCGGTCGTGGCATAACTGCAAAATTAAAAAATTAAAATCTTATTTACTTATTATATACTAACAAATAGGTACTTCGAGACCGTTGTATAAAAACACACTATGACATCGTAACTAGTATTTATTTTACGGACTCCCCTGCACTTATATCATAATTAGTGATGATTTTAAAATGTAAAGTGTTCATTTTTAAAATTCTTCTAACAACAAATACGATAATTATTAATGTTATAAAACTTTCTTTACAAAACATAACCTCACTTACCTGCATTACTGTTTTACGGATCCGCCAAAGCTTGTATGTTTCTGCATCGTCATCCATAGTGGATAATTAAATATTACGATTATTATAGTTCTAATAATTCACTTAAATGTAAAGTTTTATTTTAATAAAACTTAAAGACAGCGACACAAACACGAACGAACAAGTGTCGGTTGTTAACGTTAGTGATGTACTTCGTTGTTTATTGCTAGTTTAGTATAGTGTAGATGCAACTACTGCTTTTATTCGACTAATGTTAAATAAACTTTAAAAACAATTTGTAGTAAATATTAGATTGTTTATTAATAAGTAACTTAACAGAAGCAACAGTACAGTAAATAAAATACTAGTCGAATTTATTATTTTACGGAAAAATCTTTTTATCTTTTTTGTACGTTAGTTTTATTACTAATTGTCTATATTTCGTGATTATAGTCTGTAGCAAAGTGATAGTATCATAGAGTAACAAGACGGACTATTGTAGATTTCATTTCAGTGAAGTTTCGTTTCAATAGATATTTCACTGATTTGTCTTTTTGTTGAATGTTATCTCGATAATAACAAAAACTAACGATAATGGCTGGAATTAAGGGTATGTAGAAACAATTGAAATTCAAAATTAATCCATGTTAATAATATGTAACTAGATTGCAAAATAATGACATCTTTGTGGATTGAATGACTCATGTTATTTACAAATAAATTTTGTAAATTTCTTATCAAATACAGATATTTAACTTAATATTTTTTTCCTTTTCATGTTCTTTATATCATTGCAATGGATTAGGGTAAGTTTTGATCCGTAATTCTTATCTAGAAAGCTGTTTTATATCAACAAAATGAATGTTTTTCTCAGCACTACTATTATTGACCTTACGTTTATTTTTTGGTGTTCGATAATATAATGATTAAATAGTTATCAACAAAGGAGCCTGTAAAAATAATAAGTCCATTGTGTAGGACTTGAATTTGTACTGATGTAATGATTGTTTCTGTAGTGATGATGTAGTCACTAGTCTAAGGATGATGAATAAGTTTAATAATACAATTTCAAAGCTACTACTCATAATTATTTTTACATGATCATTTCCATGAAATGTAGTTATATTTTTACCAAGCACCCTTCACAGTAAGTTGTTGTTAAACAAAACTTATTCGAAAACCAACTGGATTGTATGATTGTGTCTATTCGACACCTGTCTACTTGTATTCTAATAAGAATCAACAGATATTTTTGTTTGTTAGTATTTTTTTTTAATTCAATATGAAAATTGTATTTTTATATTGCAGTTTGGTGTCTCTGGCCTTTGCTGGTTCCATTGGTATGACATTTGTTATTCTTGCCTGTGCCTTACCACAATACAAGTAAGTATTGGTTTATTTTATTGTATTTTTATTGAAAAGAATAAAAAATTGATATAATACATTGTTCTAATCTAATCTAGATAGTGACAGTTTTGAAAGCTTATAGCGATATAATACCTTAATGCTAAGTACATTTACAGTTAGGTAGAAATACTGTAAAACTACAAAGATGCAAAACAAAGTAATTTCATTGTATCCTTGCTTAATATTATTGTCAGCGTTAGAGTAGTCACATAGGAAATTCTTTTATAATTTTGTTTATTAGTGTTATTTTTGACCCTATTTGCTCAAATACTTATCATTAAATTGAATTTCATTCAAAATAATTCTATTTATTCAGCTATCAGCTGTTTGTTGAAACAGCTGATAGCTACTTATCTTCATAAAAGAGGAGAATCTGGTTAAATAATATTTTTCCTGTGTGTGCATGCAAATTGCTTTAATCAGCATACAATAAGTGCAGTTCATTGCCACTAAACATTCTTTTGTTGACTGATTGATAAATATGCACAAATACATCTGGCATCTTCGACATTTGATCAGTGTTTAATTTGTAGCTTTTAACCCATATATCCCCAAGCGGTCACCGGTGACCGCTCTGCACTAACTACATTATAGACCTTATTTCCGATGTTAAGAGACTACTTTTGTATGAAAAAATTTAGGGGATGATTTTCAACGGCTGAAATGAATATTTTATGACAGTGGATAATTAGATGCAGTACATACAAAAATTACAGCTGAACGAATCAATACTGGAAAATTATCGCCATTATTCTTAGACGGTGGAAGGTTTTTGTTTGTAGATTCATTTCCTTATTTTATACTTATGATGTTCTTGACAAATAAAAATATTGTTGACCCTTCATCAGACTATGGTGGCCATTCTTCGTGGTACTATTCTACGTACTGTGTCCCATCCCAACAATGATTGCGCGCCGCCACACAGACAGCGCTGGAGGCAACTCTCCTTGCATGGAGACCGCAGTTTTCATCACTATGGGTTTCCTCGTCAGCTCGTTTGCGCTTCCAATAGTACTGGCTCGTGCTGGAGTGGTATGTATCATTTAGTTAATGCTTCTACTTGAGATATTTTATTAGATATATTGTTATGAATAGTTATAACAATTCAACTCATCAGCTTATAGTCTTGCAACTGATCGCCGATTCAAAAACCAAAAATAAATATGAATCTATGTTATATTTTATTCTAACTTTAACTTGGAAAATTAAAATAGAATTATCTAACAGTGAGGTAATCAGCAAAGCTATACTCGTACAAAGCATAAATTCCTATGGAGATGTATTAATAACATACACAGTTTTTACTCTCGCTTATAGAATAGGTAATGAACTATACAAGTTTATCTAAGACTAGCTGTGCCTGCGACTTCGTCCGCGGTAAATAGTGATTCACATCTCCTCCCCAGTAGCTGATAGCGGGATAATATGTAGCCTATACGTACACCCGACTTGTTAGTATAATAATAAATTTAAGACCCTATTGTATCACCGAAAAGCACACGAATTAATACTTTGACTTTGACTAGTAATATTCATGCAAAATTTGAAGTAAATCCATAGGTACAGTATTTTTTGAGTTTAGCCTGGACATACATACAAACAAACAGACAAAAATTCTAAAACCCATATTTTAGGCTTCGATATCGAAAGTAAATCACGCTGCTAACATTCTTTTAAAAAAAATATTTAATGTACAGTTTTCACTTTCCTACGATTTTATTATATTATTATGTATAGATCAGAAGTGTCATACAGTTACAGAAGGTAGTTCTCTTAGAAACGGCATGTATCGTGAGGTGTTTTCTGTCTCTGGAGCTCTTACCACCGGTAGCTTGGACGATGCTCCCGCTACTGATTGGCCCCTATTTTTATATTTTTAAATACATATTATTTTATTTTATTTTTGTCAAGTAGTATTTAGAAATATAGTTTATTGAGAATTTGAAATGAATATATGAAAATAATAATAATCTATATTGTACACCTTAAAGCCATATGAACAAAGAATAGTAGGGCACAAATGTAGAGTTATAGACAAAAGAATAGTAGGGCACAATGGTGGCCTTATCGTTAAGAGTGATCTCTACCAGGCCACCTTCTAGTGCTAGTGCAGAAGTTAGTAATATGTCCTATATAAAATAATAAGTCTTTGGACCATGGACAAGACTTCATTTTTAATTTTTTAGCTTCTATTTTATTTTTATTTTCTAATTATGTGTGTTCTGTGCAGAAATAAATGGTTTTTCTTTCTTTATATTTTATGTAAATAAATGTTTATTAAATTACAGATTGCCCTGGGTGCCTGCTACTTAACACTGGCAGGAAATGTCATAGTATACCTCACTATTCTCGGTTTCTTCACCATCTTTGACATGGACGACTCTGACTACACGATGTGGTGAGAAATCTAAATGTTGTTGCAACTTCAATGGACGATCTTAGGCAAATAATATATTGTATCGTAAGATAAAAGTTGTGGTTTTGTTTATGATTAAGTCTGATAATGATACTGATAGTGTAACACTGAAGGTGGTCTACGAAAATGATGTTAACAATTCATTTTTTTAAATTTATGAATTTCGAACTTAAGTAACATCTGTTAATGCTGTCCAGTATTTGGAGTAGTTTATGTACTCATAGAAATATATTTAAATTATCTTTTGAATGGTTATGGTGACAGCTCATAGCTGCAATTATTAATTTTAGGTTTAGAGATTCCACATTATAGCGGTTTAACACTTTGTGATGTAGATATTTTGTTATGATTAACAGCTTTATTTTAAAATATTTCTTTATACAGTTGTTACAAATAACTACTTAAAATTATTTTGTTCATTAAAATTACCATTTGCAGTTAAGAACTATCACCTCTTTGATTCGAGTACTGATATTTAAAATAATTATACATACTTGTATCCGTTAAAACAATCAACATATTTTATTTGATTTTTATATTAATATAACTCGTTACTCACGTATTTAACAAATAATATTCTATTTGTTACTATTTAAACTTGGATTAAGAGAAATTATAGAGTAAGAAATAATTGGAGATATTTTTTTATTACCAAATGGAAATTCAGAACAACAAATAAACAATATTGTATACTTTTGAAATGAGCTTTTATCTTGAATATTAAAAAAGAATATTGCTTCCTAGTGTCGTTTAGATGCAATGAAATATCAGTTTTATTTAACAGCTGAATGTACTTTGGTTGCACTACTTGTCTCCTTTTTTTAAATGATTGAAACAGTGGAGTGAAAAATTGTTAATGTTTATTATATGTAATTTAAATGAACATTACATTTTAAAAGGATTGTATAAATTATCTGTCTACAGAATTACGCAACTTTCAACGCACTTTATAAGACTGGCTGTTTATTTTCATAAAAAAACTCTATAATTTGGTTCAATGCATATGCATCATCTAATTGCATTTAAGCCATCTTTTTCTAGTCTTATTGTAAAATAATATTCTACTGTCTCTTGACTTCCTAAAAAAGGTTGCGTACTTCTGGATTGGGATAGTAAACATTTTATTGTTTGCTGGCAACATTTGATATAACTGAGTCGCCATCTATCTATAATAATTTATAATCTATTCGATACAAAATGTGTATTTTGTTGCAATGCTTCACTCCAAGGCTGAATAAAAAAGTGTAACGCAACGCGTTGTGTATTTCGCTAACTTTTAGTATATTTATTGTAATGACGCGAGATGAAAGTGCAACAACATACGAAAATCATTCCACTGTGACTCCATTAAAAATATACAGGAAATAGGCAACTAAATGCTTGAATAATACCTTTATATGGTCGAAGCTATCATTACAGAAAATATGTGAAAGAATTCGATTCTAAATTAAAATCAACATTGAAATCTTCAAAAATGTAACTTGTAACGATTACATTCCTGTAATGTAAATTGTGTAAATATAGCATTAGAATCAGGTCACAATAAAAATATCGGCTGCTTTTTTATTTTTGTTTTATTAAAAATGTTCTTCCAATATAACTAACAGTTTTAATCCTGGTTCGAGGTTCCGATCACCAAATTGAACGAAATATTGTTGGGATTTTACTCTCAACAACACTACGCCTTCTAATCCCTAAAGATTTAAGCACATAGGTATGTGATGTGCTATTTTGCTCCAGTTACAATTTTTACGGAAGTAAAATTGTTACGGAGTTTGTCATATAAAAACAATGGGCTGTATATAATTTGTGTTACTAATTTCTTTTTTGATGGCATAAGCCGGTAAACGAGCCGACGGATCACCTGATGGTAAGCAATCGGCGTCGCCCATGGACACCTGGAACACCAGAGGATTTACAAGTGCGTTACCGGCCTTTTGGGGATTAGGAGATTGAGGATCGTTGGGGATTCAAGGGGAGGGTAATTGGGCCTCCGGTAACCTCACTCACATGACGAAACACAACGCAAGCGTTGCTTCACGTCGGTTTTCTGTGAGGCCGTGGTATCACTCCGGTCGACCCGGCCCATTCGTGCCGAAGCATGGTTCTTCCACACTTAATAATAATTAATTTATTAGAATTTTAGAAGCCAAGCGTAGGTAGCTAGTATTCTGATCAGCACATTCACTAAATACCTACACTTACAGAAACATTCTGCACCTTTTGTTTGCCACCAAAGTAAGTAAGCCTAGACTCCTCCCTCCCAGTTTATGAATCGCAATTGCATTGCAATCGTGGCTTATTTATGAAAATACCAATACCTTTTGTTGATTATTATTGATTGCTTGTGTTAAGCTAGGTAAGTGATATTTTAGTCTTTCACCCCAAATCATCAAATGTATTTACTGTTGCACTTACTAAAATCTTAACAAAATAAACGTGTTAAAAAACTCCACAACATTGAGGAATTTAATTTGATTATAAAATACAATAAACGGAAAATAAAATACTTCATACCGTGAAACGGAACGTAAATTAATCATCTTCCGCTGATTTGACGTTTTACACACGTCAAAATTCGTGGACCCACTGTGATTGTACCGCACCCACTGAAGTTTTCCTTAATAATTTATTGTAATTTGAAATAGAACAGTATTTAGTGAAATCGAAAATATGGGTGATCATCTACCAGCTTGTGTCATTGATGTCGGAACGGGCTACACGAAGCTAGGCTTTGCCGGCAACAAGGAACCGCAGTTTATCATTCCGTCAGCCATAGCGATAAAAGAAACTGCTAAAGTTGGCGACCAAAGCACTCGGCGTATGACTAAGGCCGTAGAGGACTTAGATTTCTTCATCGGCGATGAAGCGTTTGACGCCACCGGGTACTCTGTAAAGTATCCCGTGCGCCACGGTCTAGTTGAAGATTGGGATCTAATGGAGCGTTACATTGAACAGTGTATCTTCAAATACTTGAGAGCGGAACCCGAAGATCACCATTTCTTGCTGACTGAGCCTCCACTAAACACGCCTGAAAACAGGGAGTACCTAGCTGAGATTATGTTTGAGTCATTCAATGTGCCTGGTCTGTATATCGCTGTGCAGGCCGTGTTGGCTCTTGCAGCGTCCTGGAAGTCGCGTACATCCGCGGAACGTACGTTCACAGGCATTGTAGTGGACAGTGGTGATGGTGTCACCCATATTGTGCCTGTAGCTGAAGGGTATGTCATTGGATCATGTATCAAACACATACCCATCGCTGGTCGTAACATTACCTCGTTTATTCAATCTCTACTTCGTGAGCGTGAAGTAGGCATCCCACCAGAACAAAGTTTGGAGACTGCTAAAGCTATTAAGGAGAGATACAGTTACATTTGTCCAGACATAGCAAAGGAGTTTGCTAAATATGATGCAGACCCCGGTAAATGGATGAAGAACTACACTGGTATTAATGCTATCACTAAGAACCCTTTCTCTGTTGATGTTGGTTATGAAAGGTTCTTGGGTCCAGAGATATTCTTCCACCCTGAGTTCTCCAATGCTGACTTCACTGTTCCTCTTAATGAGATGGTAGATGAAGTCATTCAGTCGTGCCCCATTGATGTGAGGAGAGGGTTGTATGGGAACATTGTGTTGTCTGGTGGGTCGACCATGTTCAGGGACTTTGGTAGGAGACTGCAGCGTGACATCAAGCGGACTGTTGATGCGAGACTGAAGCTGTCTACTACGCTGTCAGAAGGACGTATTACTCCTAAACCTGTTGATGTGCAAGTTATATCACACAATATGCAGCGCTATGCTGTGTGGTTTGGAGGCAGTATGTTGGGCTCAACTCCGGAGTTCTATCAGGTGTGCCACACGAAGCAGGCGTACATGGAGTACGGCCCCAGCATCTGCAGGCACAACCCAGTATTTGGCACCATGACATAAATGTATATTGTAATTAATTGCCAGTATTCAGTCAATATGAAAGTTGACTATTTTTAAGCAATTATGAATTTATAATTTTAAGATTATTTTACTTAAAGAGACTTATTAAGTATGCCTATTTTATAAGTGTAACTAAATAATAGCTACATGAAATATTGGAGCATTGTATTTGTAAAGAACTTTTAATTCCACCAATATGTTTATGATTATATTCAAATATTCAATTCATGTAAAATGTAATGTCTTAGCTGGATTTTATTAAGAGGCATTTAATATTGCATTCCAGCTTTTTACCAAATATAGAGTCTTGATATAAGTTCATTTATTTATTTTGTTGTCAATCCCTGCCCTATAACTATGATAGTTTTTTTATCACAAAGTATAATAAACATGAATCAATATAAAACAATCCTATAGCCCTCATAGAGTATTATTACTATTAATATTAAATACGTATTTTATCTAGTTCATATTGAAAAAAAGTACCATGATATCCTAACCATTACCTCATTCCTTATCTTTTCCTTTCAGTATCAACAGTTCACAAACTTTGAAACAGATGGCGTTATTCATAAAATGAACAAGTCGAGCTTGTCCTTTATTTTTTTATATTATTATTTTTGTATTTGGTTACATTTTATAATTCTTATTATTATGAGTACATAATTATTTTGATAATCGAGCTCAATGTATCAATGGATTTATAGGTATCTAACGTAAAGGAAGAGTAGGTAATGTAACAAAATACTTTTCGAGAATTTTGAGTATTTTGTGTTTTTGAGTTGTAGTAGTTCGAGTAGTTTGTATGAAAAGTATTTTGAGACAGAGACCTCTGTAGCCTACTATATTATATTTCATTGTAGTTTTACTTTTATTATTCTTTACATTGTTATTTATAGTCTTTAATATTAGATAGCCTACCTCATTTCTTTAGTATTTTCTTCTGTCAATCTGTTAATGCCCCAAGTATGTCATGATTTTTCCAATGGAAATATTTACTAGATTATGTTTTATTAAATAACAATTTAAACCTGAGTAGGTACCTAAATCTTATCTACTTTCCCGTCACACTGATGACCCCTAATCCTCCAAGAAGCAAAAAGTGGAGAAGTCTAATTGATTTAATGACCTGACTCAATGAGCATGCAGTAATTACCTACTTAGTAACGCTGTAGTGTTTCAAACAAAATTCACTAATTTTGTGTCAACTTATGAGGAGTTGAGGAGGTTTTAAGCACCTATAGAAGCTTTGCATAGTTCTTTAGTTATATTGCGACATTTAATTATGACATACCCCCACTATGCAGATACTAGTTAGTTCATAAACTGAAAGAGGGCTGAATGAGGAGTGTTGCTCTTTTCATAGTTTTCATTAGTCGTCGCTAATTAAAGTAGGATATGTCTCGTAACTCATAAGCTAACTTTACAGGATTGAAATGAAAAGGGTTGTCATTAGAAACCTTTTCTACATCGTGGTGTAAGCAGGTTCTTGGGTAATTTGCATGGTTTTTATGGGATAAACCGGTAATCGGGCGGGCGGATCACCTGGTGGTAAGCAATCGCCGTCCCCCATGGACACCTGGAACACCAGAGGCGTTATCGGCCTTTTGGGATTAGGAATATGAGGGTTGTTGGGGATTCAGGGAAAGGGGGAGGGGTAATTGGGTCTCCGGTAATCTCAATCACACGACGAAACCACGCAAGCGTTGCTTCACGTCGGTCTTCTGTGAGGCCGTGGTATCACTCCGGTCGTGTCGGCCCATTCGTGCCGAAGCATGGCTCTCGCACACTTGGATTTATGATTAGTGTTGATAGCGGTACATTAATGTATATGGTGGGGTAAATGAGGGATATGAGCCTCATGATATTTTTTTTTTTGAAAAATCCAATTGTAATATGTTGGTATTTTGCTCTACGGCTCTACCTAGTCGGAAATTCAAGCTTTACCTATAGGTAAGACTTTAGTCTTTGTACGTAATCGCTAAGCTGAAATACCAACGATTTTTTTTTTACATTTTTACACGAAACTAGCAACCCTACCCAATATATCCGGTTGGCAACACCAGGTGGTACACAAGCTGCAATTCGTTTTTACAAAGCACGCTCTCTAATTAGTGTGTTACCGACTCGTAGGTACTCTGCAGGCTTACGGGACTGCCACAAAAGAGCCAATTTCCAAACGAATCCTTGCCAATTCCACGGCTCGGTGACACGTATAGGATTCATTATAAGATTTACTATTTAGTTTTGGGGTTTTTTAGTCTACTAGTATACATAACGTGCGTGTTGATACGCCGTGTGGTGATGGATGACAGAGCAGGATACAATTGTCACCTTTTCCCTTCTCGTGGGTGCCGTACAAGACGATCATGGGACTACAACTTTAGATAGGTATAATGACCAGCAGACGGCAATACTCTTTGGTAAATCTGAACTATTCAAACTACCATCTCTAACGCGCCAAGTAAGCGTGGAGATTACTTATAGCAAACTAAACATAAAAAGCCCCGTACACGCACGAAGCGCTACGCATCAAGCTTCCTTGTGCGTACTGCTAAGGGTGTAACCTGGGTGTCTTCAAGGCCCGAGTGAATAGGTTGCTTATGGAACGACACATTGCTTACCACCAGGAGAGATAGAGACCAAACGTCAGGCTATCAAATATAAAAAAAAGAAATATAAGACCAGTTATGGACAGTGAACGTAAACATAAGTGGCTTTTATAGTCGCTTCTGTTGACTAATGCCGGGGTGGGTTTTAGTAAAATGAAAATCACAGTACCTCCTTTTTTCCCAAAAGACCACCTTTTAAAAGTAACATAACATCGAACCTTTTACCCCTGAAGGGGTAGGCACATTATACCACTATACGGCTTGCACGGCTGTCGCACTTGCGACCGCTCGGCCAACGAGGCAGTCCTTTCCTTTTAAAGTTTCCAGTTCCTTTTAAAAGTCTTCTCTTTAAAAAGACACATAAGTTCAAGTTCTTAAGTTGAATCGAATGGAGTTTCTTGCTCGTTCTTCTCCATTCGAATCTACATTATGGAATGAGCACCTAGCTTCACCTAGCTTCACAGACGGGCTGGCTGACAGACTATTGTTTATTTTGTATTTTTTGATGTTTCAAAAGTACCAAATTATGGTTTAATTGAAATAAATGCTTTGACTTTGGCTTTGAAGTTTAAGTCTATAGTCAACTTATTTACTACCATTTCAGGATATAAAAGTTATGTAGGTACCTCATAAATGTTTCATATGTGTTATAAATAACACTGTTTGTATTTAATTTATATGGTAAACCTGTTGTTCTAGGCAGTTAGACATTTTCTAACTGACTGAGCTCATAAATATGACCTACATCAAAGTTCTAATGAAAAGCGTAGGCCGGTACCTTATCTTGACAAAGTACGCAGATAGGTAGGTACTGTTCCGAATAGACTTGATTTTGTTAGTAGGCACTGGTAGGCACCTACCTTTTTGTTGTCAACTGACATACCCACGTGTCAGCCATAAGAAGTCTCTAATTGTGTGTTATTCGGTGGTCCATGTCGGTGGCGAATAAATTATTTTTCTTTCTTTCTTTCTTTTCTTTCTAATTTGATTGTTTGATATCAAAGTCTATTAAGGATCAAGGACATTAGGTAAGTATTAGATTTAGGTTCGGAGTGTATCGAAATCAGTAATGGAATAGTGTCTTTTTTTTAAGGGGGGTAAATCATCGAATGACTGCTCCCGCCTGGGTAAGGCGGGAGGGAGTGTCAGACTCTTACTGACTAAAAACCACCCCGTTCCTTCTCCTGCACGTCGAGCCGGAGCCCCGGTAGCCCAGGGCCGGATTTAGGGGGGGCAACCGGGGCGAAAGCCCCGAGGCCTCCACAATAGACTTCGGAAAAAAAATCTTTCAAATTTCAACTAGTAAACCTAGTAAACATCTTTTCTTTGATACTTTTTTTTTCGCTTTTACCTTTACCTACAGCCTAAAGTACTTTATATATACATGATTATTTGATTATATTAATTTTAAATATTAACAGAAACAGAAATCATTGATCTATATATTTTGTTCACTCCAATCAGGCAATCAGTGAAATATCAAAATCTCAAATGGCTCTGATAAGCACTTCCAATTTACTACCCATCTTGAGGGAGTACCCCAATGGCTCAACGGCTCAGTGGGATGGTACTTGCCCGCAACCTCGGAGGTTGGCTATTCGATTCCGTGTCTCGACCATTAAAAAAATTAATTGCAGTATGTGAACAATTGGTATTCTTCAATTCTTAAACTCGAAATCTGTCGAGCGTCCTCGAAATCTATCGAGCATAATCGATCGTTTTCGAGCGTCCTCGATTGTTTTCGAGCGTCCTCGAAATCAATCGAGCGTCCTCGATCGTTTTCGAGCGTCCTCGATTGTTTTCGAGCGTCCTCGAAATCTATCGAGAGTCCTCGATCGTTTTCGAGCGTCCTCGAAATCTATCGGGCGTCCTCGAAATCTATCGAGCTTCCTCGAAATCAATCGAGCGTCCTCGATAGTTTTCGAGCGTCCCCGAAATCAATCGAGCGTCCTCGATCGTTTTCGAGCGTCCTCGATCGTTTTCGAGCGTCCTCGATTGTTTTCGAGCGTCCTCGAAATTTATCGAGAGTCCTCGATCGTTTTCGAGCGTCCTCGAAATCCATCGGGCGTCCTCGAAATCTATCGAGCTTCCTCGAAATCAATCGAGCGTCCTCGATAGTTTTCGAGCGTCCCCGAAATCTATCGAGAGTTCTCGATCGTTTTCGAGCGTCCTCGATTGTTTTCGAGCGTCCTCGAAATCTATCGAGAGTCCTCGATCGTTTTCGAGCGTCCTCGAAATCAATCGAGCGTCCTCGATCGTTTTCGAGCGTCCTCGATTGTTTTCGAGCGTCCTCGAAATCTATCGAGAGTCCTCGATCGTTTTCGAGCGTCCTCGAAATCTATCGGGCGTCCTCGATTGTTTTCGAGCGTCCTCGAAATTTATCGAGAG